CCCAATTACTTACTCTTTATTAAATAAATTTACCATATTTTATATTTTTATATAGAAATTCAATTTATTACAATAAATTAACATATATCCATTTTGATGTTAATTATTTATTTTTAAGCATATCAAACAACATTTATATTATAAAATCCAATTTTCTAGGACTTAATGACATTTCATTAATTATTTCATCAACATCTAGATGTATGTCCCGATGAATAGACATCATAGCTAGTCCATTTAGCCTCGTCTACATAATAATACAATAATTAAAAAAAGCGGGTAAGTGGATGTCGCTCTGCTGTACATTAGGTGGTGGGGTGGACCTCTAACTAGGGTAGGTTAGATTTGAATGCAATTATAGGTATCATTGTATACAAAAAACGATTCTGAACGGAGATGATTTGTCAGTCTAGGATATATTATATTTGAATATTGTCATATTATATTCTATTTTGAAACAAATATTTAGTTAATGTAATGCATATAGTAATACGTATAAAAGTAATAAAGAGCTTACAAAATAATTCAGCTTACATATTAGTATACATATGTTATTTAAATGCATACCCCAGACCCCTACATCCCACAAATGACGCCTGCAATGTGTCCAGTAATTACCAAAAAGTAGTTTAGAAAATTTTTACATCGATCGTTTAAACAAATATATGAAGATACTTAAAATAGGTACCTAGTAGTCAACAGCCAGTAGTAACTATACTAGTATAGTCTATATAGTAGGTAAGTATACTGAACGCATTGGACTAAGTATAAACAATTTAATTCAGTTACCTACTACAGTTTCAGAACGTCAATATTTATTGTTAATTAAAACCATAAATAAGATTATAGTAATCTCTATATGGATAATATTTTGTGATTTCGCGATTGTAACCTTACCAGTCAGACCGTTGTTTTGAAGTTTTATTTTTTTGGGCAATACATCAAAGTACCGAAATTCCAACGGCGGCATTGTCGTGACAAGCATGTCGTCAATGTTGACGGCTAGCGGCGACATGAGTATGTCGTCGACGTCTCTTTTCCACATATCTCGCATCATTTGTAATGATTCGTCTACACCATGGGAAATATCTATTGTAGGTATAATCAGTGGTGTATTGGAGGGTATACGGGGGTATACGGCGTATACCCAAAACGTATTTGTCGATCAGAGCGTATAGCTTTTAAAATATACTTAATACGCAGGTATACGCCCGTATAGGAGCTATCCGTATCTATACTATCTAATCAATTACAAGAACGTACAACTACACTTATTCAAGGCCAAAAGCACATTCAAAGAACAATAAGGATTATAGAATCATTTAAAGTTACTCCGGGAGAACATATGTCTGAAGTTTCTACACTTAAAGAAGTTATGGTATTTAAAAATATTCAACTTTCAACTAACACTAAATTAATTACTATTAATCCAAAACAGTTTATTTCAAGCATTACCAATAATCTTAAACATAGATTACTTGAAAATAGCAATGAAGAGACTATTATTCAGGATTTGTTGATTATGGATATTAGCATCTGGCCAGAAAATACTAATATTAGGCACGGGGAAAATGAAATGAAGCGTATAYGTAAACGTTTTTTACTTAATGAACAAAATGCTATCAATGGTCTTCGACAACTAACTGAAGATAATACACTTTTGCCAAAAAAAGTCATGCCTGAAGTCTATAATTTGTGTAAAACATTTCCAATATCAACAGCTGAGTGTGAAAGGGGGTTTAGTCTAATGAACAATATTTGTACAAAGCTTAGAGCTAGACTAACARTAGTAAACATAGCTAATKTAATGTTTATTAATATAAATGGCCCTCCATTGGACAACTGGAACCCTGAATATTATGTTAAAACATGGCTGGTTCATCATAGAACAGCTGAAGATTCAAGAACCAAACCCAATCAGCCAAACAAACATAATGTCCAAGAAGAAAAAATAAGTTTGTGGAAAATATTATAGTAACTACTAACTAGTAATAAATTATTTAAAGTTGTATTTGTTATTAATAAATTAAGTTACCAATCAGCTGTTAATATTTGTCTAGAATTTGCTACTTTTTAGATATATGATTAATTTGTGAAAGACATCAC